TCTTGAAATTGACTCCTCTGCAGGGCTGTGGCCATTTTGAGATGTGCTAATGTGAGTAATACTATCTCATTCCGCTTTGCTGACTGGGAAGACTTTCCATAACAATAATTATTATAATTATGATAGTAATAATAGTAATAGCAATAATAACAATAGTAATAGTAATAGTTCTTTTGATAATAGAAATAATCCTTATTTTCCTCATAAAAATCAGTATGTGATTCCTAAAGGAAAAAAAACAACATGGTACTTTCAGTTTCTTGAAAATTATACTTTGATCAGCTATTGTTCAACCGTCGCGTTGCTAGTTCATCCAGCTCAGCATAGCCGTTGGTTCTGGAAAAGATAGTTTAAGCAAATTTACCTCTGCCCCTCATTTCTTCCGCTTTCTCACTGGTTTGGTTTTTCCGATAATGAACGATAAAGCAGTTTTTTTTTTCTTGAGAAAAAACTATTGAAAGAAAAAAATCTTGAATGATATTGAACAGCCGGAACCGCTCGATGCGAGGTGCTCCATCCGGCATGCAAAAACATCAACATATTTTGCAAACATGCCTGCAAAATGCTCTGAGTTCCTCGCTTCACCTGCTCCACGTTCATGCCTTCTCACTCTCCCCCTGATTTTCCCTGTGAAGTCTGTCCTCTCCCTTCCTCTGTCCTCCAATCCTGCATTCCGCGCCACATTTTCATTTGCCTCCGCACCATTCTTATCTTTGTTTACTATACAATCTCTTCAGTATAGTTGCTATGATCACAGCATTTAAAATCTGATTTGAATCCAAAGAAAATGAATGGCTTTCTGCCCTAAAATGAATGGTTGCCGACTTAGACAACTGGAACAGCGGGAGAGCCAGAAAGTTTTTTTTTTTTTTTCACCGACGAGTGGTTGCTGTTGGCACTCGATGGCAGTAAGTGGTAGCTGTTAGTACTTGATACCACTCGGACTGTTTCTAGTTGAATGTCTTCACCTCTCAGAGAGAGCAAATACTGAGGGTTGAGTTTTGACGGTTGATAATAACACGCGTGTAGAACCACAAAAACGAACCTTTAATATCATAACAAAGTATGAATTAAACTGGAATTTTCGAGCAAGAAAAACAACAACAATGCAACAACTGGATGCGCAGCGGGTTCAAACTCCAAGCACACGTAACTGCGCCTAAGGAAGGTCTGGCATAGCTAAGTCCAGATTATGGCTTCATCTTATTGAAATCTATGCACTCGCAGCGATAGTTTCGCTCAGTTCGGTGTTGAAAGACTCTGAGATAGATTTCATGAAAGGCGAGTTTAATAGTAGTAGTAGTAGCGAAAAGTATCATTGATATGTGAAAGAGAATTTGATCTGCAACTATGACATTTCGAATTACAACAGTAATAATAAAACAATGATGACAATAATTATTATCGCTATAGTGAATTCTGAAATTATAATGATAATAATAATATTTACAATAATAATGAAAATCATAACAATCACAGCAATAAGATTTGTCAACCAAGATCCAGAGATGAGGACAACAAATGTCGCACACATGTGTCACTGTAATCAACGTATATACTGTAATGCTGCATGCATACCGTATGTACCGTAATATGATATCATATCATCTTACATGTAATACACGTAGTGTAAAACACATGAATACACGTATTGTACAATCAAGTTTTGTAGTATCACGCACAAAAATATTGGACATTTTACAGCTATCACTAAACAAGAATCAAATTAAAAATTGAAAAGAACTTTTTCAGAAACAATCATCCCTCAATTATTGAAATTTTATTGCCTGGTACATGCGTCAAGATGAGATGGGAAGCATAAGTACATGTAAAAATGCTCCAAAAAGAAAGAAAAAAAATTCAGATTGTATGGAATAAATTCCCCCAACGATTAGAATTTGTTGGTAAATTGATGGATTTGTTTATGAAATGCTTCTGTGTAAGTGCTGCCTTAATATTAAATTGGCACTGGTACTGTCAGGATGACAGAACAGCCCTTAGCTTGCTCCCAAAACGCCGTCTTTAGCTTGCTTTCAAGAAACCATTGAAAGAAGGAACCATCGATAGTTTTGCCAGCAAATGGTTGCTGTTGATAATGTGCTGCTCGGATCACTTCCGAGCATCACCACTTCTTACAGAATGTAAAGTATGAAGGGTATAGCTCATATGATATGTAAATTTTAAGCCTGGATAAATCTAGATGTTGCTTTCAGTTTTTTTTTTTGTACGCTACCGAAAATATTAGGATTCCCCAGGATAATCAGTTTAAAAATCTTGCATGTTAGTGAGATTACTGAGATAAATCGAAAGTCTGGTGCTTGATATGTGTCTGATACGGCATTTATCCTGGTACTCCTAGAAGTTTTTACGAGCGTTCTTTGCTGAAAATAACTATCCTTATGTTCCTAGAAGGCGTAAATGCTACACTTGGAACATATTGCTGTCTGGCCCCGTGTGCTGTTTTTCGAAATTGTCTCCATGTTTTTCAGTGTTAGCGGTAGCAGTTTTCTGAGCCTCCTCCATTTCCTGTTGACGAAGTGTGGACTGGCGTTTGAACTCCTGTTTTTCCTTGTGCCTTTTACAGCACAAAGTGATAAGATCGAAGAACAGCACTGCACATTCAATAATCGTTATCACACTGAAGCCTGAAAATAAAGCGCAATTCGCAAAACTGGTTGCTGTATCCAGAGAAAGTAAACGATCACTCGGGCGGTAGGTACTAACTGGAGGCATACAACACTGAATCTAAGGACTTGCCATAGCTGCACGCGGCGTGTTGGAGCATCGCAGCAACATCACTAACATGGGATCCCCACACGGATTGCGTGGTAGATTAGCATTTATGATTGCTAATAACCAGTTAACTGTCTCTGCCTCAGCATCCTAGAATTTTTGGATAATTTTGTGCATCTAAGTTCTAGCAAATCTACTGCTGGCTACCACATACAAGTGAAGCAGAACTGCCTAGTGTTGGAAATTACGATCGAAAAAAGTAGAACAAAATATGCAGCACTCCTTTTCAGAATAAAAGAGGAAGGAAATTCAGTACTGTTAAATGATGAAACTGAAAATTCAAATACCTGCCGAGGCTATATATAAAGCATCTTGCTCCGGAAGGAAATCACAAGCAAGTTTACCTCTAAGTAATGCAGTTTTGGGCAAAGCAACCATGGAAGTGTTGCCATTTATGCCTCTTACCTACGGTAGCTGTTCAAAAAAACAAGAACATGGCAACAAATTATTTTTGTATGAAATTAATGTTTAGAATTTCGCTGCGTTGTTGGCGGAAAATACAATCTGTTTTTTTTCAATACTTATTTGACTAAAGGATTTGTAGCAGCACAAAATTAGCGCACAGGAATTCGAAAATAAAATCTCTCTCTTAAATTTCTGTTTGATTAAAAGACTATAAGTAATTTACCCATCCACAATCCAAGATGGCCACCGACATCGGCCAGTAGATTGACAAGCTAAAACAAATTTTTTATAGATTGCAGAAATTAGGAATATACGACGCCATTAACATGAAATGCCCATGCCAGCTGCTTGGGCGATCTTACAGTGAAGTAACAAATGAAATACTTATTTGGCACTGGATAGCTAAATTATTAGTCTAAAGCAAATTAACGCTATTCCACAAGTGTACAATTAGCTTTTTCGTTTACAGATTCGAGTCGTTAATTTCATCGTTCAACTGTATTAGAAAGTATGCTGTAACGAAGTTGCACTGTAATGAAACTGTACTATAGGGTATGGTGTGTTGGGGAATGTACTGTACTGAAAGCTGGAGGTAATAAGACTACTGCATACTGTTATAGAACTAAATTTTATTCGTGTGAACTTTCTAATTTTATCCACACTGTCTACTACAATCGTCGTATTGACAAAGTTCAGAGTTATGGTACTGTTTTGGAACATATGCGACTCAATGGACCAAAATATTTCATTTCGGTTATCCTTAATCTCAACTTTCTATTTTTGCCTTACCCCTTTCGCTGTGTATAGTTATTAAAAGTTGAAGAGAAAATATCAAGAAAAGAGGAAACAAAGAAAATAATGAAAAGGGTAGTAAGATGGGAAAGGGGTCTGAGGAAATATTTGTAATAGGTAAGAAATGTCCATTAAGTTATACCATTTTTCGTGTTTTTTACTACTACTTAACACCTTTTTATTGTATGCGTATAATTACTAACTATCCTAATAGTGACTTATAATACAACGAAATGAATGTTTGGAAGGCTAAAAGACAAAGCAAGAATTAAAAGTTGCAGTTGCGGTACTTTCTACTAGAAAGAGTACCCCGCACAACCTGAATACTAGTAAACAACACGTGGGATACCACTAACAGTTAGCCCACAGATCTTTTATTCTAAAAAGTTGCGCAGAAATTTAAATTATACTAACACCATATGCTTCGGATTCTTTGAGCAGTTCGTAATTGAGTTGCTCATAGTAAACTTCAACCATTGCCGCATTTTTGCTGTAAAATGTCTCGCAATCGTCTTCCGTCAAGCTAACATCGCAACTCCCCAGCTGCAAACATCATGCTTATCCAGGATTTTGCCGGCCAAGAGCAAAAAAAAACAAATAATAGGGACAAGAAAAAAATTGCAACTACAGCTGGAACTGAGTGGCCAGGAAATGTAGAAAACTGAAAGATAAAACTGAAGGTTGGTAATAATTAGGACAAAACTAAAAACAAATTTATGCAAAAACAATACGGAACGTTTTGGTTCATCAAGTTTCAGGATAAGAAAGTGCGAATATTACTAAACTATCTGTGAAAAGTGGATTTTTTAAAAAGCATGCAAATGAACAAAGTCTAAAGAGTGCAAAACACATTCCAAAGATCTAAATTCTGGACTAGCTTACTAACTTTAGTACAGAATCCGCCCTTTCGGACTTAATTTACAAAATAGGATTTCGAAAAAAAAGCAGGGTCTTTGTACCCTGCATCTACCACCGACTGACATCAACCATGCATGTGTTCAATTAAAATGAGTGAAAGAACATACCGACTCGCGAAGCTGCAATTTTAGGATGGTTAAAAAATGAAGAGAAATAAAAATGCAAGAACAAAGAATATCAGAATCAGCTGGTTATCATAAGAATGAGGATCCCATGTTTGTGATGTTACTGGAATGTTCCTATGCGTTTGGTGCTGTCATGTCAAGACCTTAAATGCAGGGCAGCACACTTCCAGTTAGTACTTACTACCTGTTTGATGCATTTGCGCTACCTCTTCAGAGGATGCCCAAGCAGCCGTTTATTTTCTCGCAGGTCACACTCATCAGTGCGCTTCGTTCGCCTATTGTTAACAGACCAGCAACATAACCTGCCTATTGAAATTTACTTTCGGAATAAAAAATTGAAGTTTCAAAAAATTATTCAAATATCTTGTTACACAAAAAATCTTTTGCAGCATTCAGTGTATTTCAAATACCCTCATCACTGCAAATACCGTAATATAACATTAGTACTAATTCTTACGGCAGCTGAAAATACTAATAGGTTTACATAAATATAAATGTTTTGCACCCCTATCTGAAGTCGATGAGTTCAATACGTCACTCAGAATACCAATTCCTCACCCATTTATTAATTTGTTTGCTGGTGAATCATTACTGTCGTAAATTTCACGAGACCAGCCATCAGTTTTTTTCCAATTAAGCAATCCTCGGCAGGAAAACTCCGTAGCAATTGATTATTATTAATAAAAACGTCATGACCGACCTAATTCTGAAGTCAGTATCCCCTACAGAAAGTGAAAAACACTTCGACAATTAGTGAAAATTACAAAAACGAACATCAGTGGCGCCAGATGGCCATTTGGAAGCTGAAAATGTGATGCCGTAAATTTCATGCTCACATGATTGCTTGCACGTGCAATCCTTCAAATTATCCGTGATATGGTGAAAATCACCAATCTCAGCAATCGCTCTTTCCAGGCATCCTCCTGTAAATTAGAGGAAATTTATGCAAATACGTAGATTTGAAAGTCCAGGGCTTAACTTATGCGTAATTTGTTTCCTCCGATTTCCTAAAACGACTGGGGAATAATGAGGCTTGATTCAGATCATATTCCTACCTAGCTTTTGCAGCGCATCAGGATCAGTTCCTCGGTGACAAGTTACCTTTTTGTGGCAACTTTCAAGACGAGATGGTGATGCTGAGCAAGCGCACACACACTATGAACATCTCCAAATGGACAAAGTTTTGCCAGCTGGAAAAACTACTGACTTGGAAAACCTTTTAGGGCACAGAACGAACTTCAGTAACACCAGCACAATGACCATTGGATAGCGCAGCACTGGTCAAAGCAATTAAGAATTTTGGCAGCTGCAAAGCTGCAGAATCACACTATAAACTGCAGCTGAAAAAAAGACAGAGCATCAATGTCTATCTTATTGGAAGTTATTTAAACGCAAAATAATTTCCAGGGTCTCGTCGTGCTATTCAAATTTTGCTAATTTTCACACACATCCCTAAGATTTTTAAATTTTAATATTTGTAGGATTTTTAGGCCTTTTTTTGCGATTTTTTAACATTTGTAAGAATTTTTAAAAAAGCCGTTAAAAAAATCTTTTAAAAGCTTGTAAGTATGAACTCACTTGCAGTAGCGTTGAAAGCTGAACAATGCCGTTTTCCTCGTGGTACAGGGAAACGGGGATCGCCGCAGCCACACTTGCTGAGCAGCGTATTTTGAAAACAACTTCTGTGGCAACCCTCAAATTTGCGCAGAAAATGAGAATTTGCCAAGAAACTTAGACTTTTCAACATCTTCTTTATGCAGGATTGTCAAGAAGACAATCACTACAAATATCCTGCTGATGCGTGATATTTACAGTGATAGTCTTGGTGACTT